GGCCTGGACCTCGTGGTAGAAGCGCGCCAGTTCCCCATGGCGGGCTTCCGCTTCATGTTCCTGGACCTGGCGTACTCACTGCTGCGCCGCGTCTACTACAACAACCACGTCCTCGTCCCGCTCCCGCCGAGCTTGCGCGATGCCTTGGCCTGGCTCCCCGAACCCCAGGCGCCTGATGGGCCGGGCCCGCGGCCCAGTAACTCGAGGAGGCGGAGGAGCTCAGCACCCCTGAGGGTGAGTGGCTGGCGAGCGGGTCGGTCGGGTCGGTCAGGAGACCCGGGTGCCGAGGGACCCAGGCTCAGAGGGGGGCCTCGGGAGGTGAAGCCGGGAGTTGGGGCCTCCAGGAGCTGAAGGCCAGAGGGGCCCAGTAGAAGCCCACCTCCATAACGACCGCTCCAGTTTCGGCGGGGGGAAATAAGCTGCCCTCTTCCAACCCCTGGTAAGAGGTCTGAGATGATCGGTGCCATTTATGAGGCCACAGGTGAAGGTCAGTGGAGGCAGGTGTTCGGGAGGGAGCTTGGGAGGAGATGGAAGAGAAAAGAACAAGCAAATGGCTTTTGGATCCTGGCTTTTAAAAATGTCAAGATTCTTAGAAAGTTGATCCCAATACATTATGAGCTGATACGGGAGCACTTGGTCACGGTGAAATATTCAGGGGGGTGAGGAACCAAAGAGCTTCACCACAGATTTTTGTCATAGAGGCAAAACATGTTTTTGCAGCAAAGTTCTGACCAAAACATACAGAATGCATCAGACCCTGACGATTCTGATCCATTCCCTAAAGGGCCAGAAGTAATCAGCAGCACAGGGTGACAGATTTACTGGAAAAAGAGAAATAATGTCACTATGAAAATGATCAAGCAGGAGAAAAGGGAGGGCCGTGGAAGTGTTACAGCAACCAGAAGGAAGGTGCCCAGCTACTGTGTTCTTAGTTGCTCCTATCCTTCTGCGTCTCCTAAGGGTAGAGTACTGGATGTTGGTTGCTATTCTTTTGCATTGGGATTTTTTTTTTTCTGTGAATGTCTTGTCCCAAAGTCTGTATTATTCACTAAAGAAACAACTAAATATCAGGATGAGAACGCCAATGAAGAGGCCCAAGGTGCTGAAAGTGAGGGGGAACGAGAAGTTTAACAAAAACAAGAACCTGAAAAGGACAGACGCAGAAAGTCCAGGTAGCTGTGTGTAACTTTGAAAATAACCCAGCGGTTCCCAGGCACTTACCAATTTTGTTTTCGTTTTTTAATTCTCCCAGTGAATTGAGAAAAAATTTGTTTAAAATTAGTTTAACAATTCAAATTTACCTACTTAGAGTGTTAATAGAACATTCATGCACCTAGTAGTATAAATCAGCAGCAGCAAAAGTAGCTGGGCTGTGCACTAGTGGGGCCTTCATTACTTGGCCACAGAAGTGCAGTCTCCTGTACTAAGAGATGATGACTTTTAGAATCTGACTACTTACAAATAGCAAAACGTTCAGAATTTCAGGTAGGACCACATTTAGTGATTAATACCTAACGATTTGTTCAGTTGTAGATTTTTGTGTTTTATGTGACAGTCAAAAGAAGAGGAATTTAGTCACAGTATGACTCTTGTTTATCACTGAAGTCTTAAGGTGTATCTTATCTTTGAGTATATTTAAACGATTAACATTTTTTTCTGCATTTTCACAGCTGTGTATTTCATGGTAATAGCCTCTTTCTCATATGGTAGATATAGAAACTGAAGGTCTGGGAGAGTAAGGGAGTATCATTTGTGGAATGAGCATAGGCTTTTAAGGTGGAGAGAGTGATTTAAATCCAAGAATCACCTCTCAAGGGGGAAAAAAGCATTTATGGTGTTGGGCAAGAGGGAGACAAGGTTGGTATGATCACATGATTGAAGCCATCAGTTGTACAAGCACCCTGTATCCAAGGTGCAGGTTACAAGGGGAAAACGTGTTGTTCTTCTCTACTTGTTTAGATAGAGCCCTCAAATGCAGCACATACACAAAGAAAGGGCTGACCATTTTCTTAGATTTAGAAAGTCTCTGGTGCTGGTTAGTGCTGTGTAATTGTTTACTTTCTCTCATTTCATCCTGCAGTTGGGAGGAAGAGAAAGAAGATGAAGAAAGAAAAGAATCTGTTTTTCACGATTTTTAGGTTTTTCATTTTTTAGAAGCCCATGGGAATGTTATTAACACTGATTCCATTCCAAAGTTCATCACCCAAAAAGCAATATCCAATAACATATGACTTTTTTCTTTTACAGTTATTTTTAACTAGAACAAATGCTGTCAAATATGTTTGTTTTAAGTTAATAAACTGAAATGTAGGCAGATTTTATTTACATAAATAATCCTGATTCGAGTTTCTTTTACCTTTGTTTGACCAATTTTACCTTCATTGAAAGGCATCAATTTCTACCATTTGGTAAGCCTGTTTGAAATTCTTTTATTGCAGCCCAAAATAAATTAAAATTTCAAGTTTAAAACAATTTTTGTGAAGACAGAAATGGAGGTCGAGCCTTTAGAGTTGTGCTGTTTACTACATTAGTCACTAGCCACATGTGGCTGCTGAGCATTCAAAATGTGGCTAGTCTGAGTTGAGATGTGCTGTAAGTGTAAAAATTACTGTAAAGTCTCATTAATAACTACACATTGAAATGATAATATTGTGTTAAACAAATATAACATTAAAATTACTTCCTCCAGTTTCTTTTTACTTTTTTAATATGGCTACTAGAACATTTAAAATTACACATGACTTGTGTTATATGTGTATTTCATAGTACTGCTGTGAGCTTTTGAAGGAAACCTGATGGATGGCCCAGATTGCCTGGAGGCCAGATGGTGCTGCAGAGCCTGAGCCCAGACACTAATTTGGAAAACTGGTTCTCAAAGTTTGGTCCTTAAAATAGCATTATCAGCATCACCCAGGAATCCTTAGGCTCCACTCAAGACCTGGGACTCAGAAACTCTGGGAGTGGGGCCCAGCAGCCTGTATTGTAACAAGCCCTCCAGGGGACTCTGATGCAGCTAAGGTTTGAGAAGCACTGGTTTAGAGCCACACGGGGAGAAGCTGAGACCCACCTGTGGTGGGACCAGCCTTCGTTCACTGGCTTGGGACTGTTGTAGGTAAACTAAACAGGACGGCAAGGGCTGGACTGGGGAGGAGATTAGAACTCACAGGGGCTGAGACACAGAGAGGCTAAGAATGGGTGATGGCAGGAAAAAAAATGCATAAGGGAAAAAGCTGGTTCCAGAAGGATGCAAACATGATACTGTGTATATGAAGTCTAAGAAAACATTCAATCACCATATACTGATTGTGGATACATACAGAGAGTAAAAGGCAATGCATGTGAAAGATGTATACAAATGTAGCATACAGAAGGGCATGCAATGGAAAGATAAACACCACATTTAGGATATTGGTTACCTCTTAGGAAAAGAAAAGGAGGGGAATTCTATTGGGAAGGGCTTCGCAGGGGGCTTCAACTATATTTGTAATGTTACATTTCTTAAGCTGGGTTGTGGGTAAATAGACATTTACAGTAGTATTCTTTATAATTTTGTGTAGATCTGAAGTATTTCAATAAATAATGAGTAAAAATAAAAAGAGGAAAGGGAGAAAATGGACTTAATCTCTGAACTCTGTTTAAGGAAATAGAAAGATAAAGTTGTAGATGACCAGAGTAGAGGATCAGAGAAGGGGAAGGGCCTGGGGATTGGAGACCAGACAGCCTCATTTCTGCATTTAGTTAAGGCTTCCTAGGTACCTGAAATATGGTCTACCTGGGGTACACTTTGTTCCCATGGGCTTTTCTCCTGGCCTCCTTATAGATAGCTGATAACCTTCTCATATTCTGTGGTGGCATGTCTTCTATTCTAACTACACACACACACACACACACACTACATTCCACCTATTCCACCAACACCAACCCCTGGACTGAACCTCTATATGGTTGGGACCTTAGAGGGTTTTATTTATCTTTCTTTCCCAAAGCCCTGAGCAATGAGTTTTCCTCTTAGTAGGTACTTAATGTCTATTAAAGTAAAGTAAAATTAACATCCCCACAATCTTTTTTTGGTCACCAGTGTTGACATTTTAAAATGTATTATCACATATTATTCCTTAGGGCTAGAACCCCATGGTGAGACAAAAGGCAAAGCACTCCCTGTCACCATTATTTAAACTGAAAGGGCAGGCCAAGTAGTATGATTTGAGGACCTTCAAACTGGCTCTGATTTGTTAGTGTTTATGCTGTGCTAGTTGTAAATAGTATTGCTTCTAGACCCAGGCAAGAGGGACCTCTGTCCTGAGCTCTATGCTTTAGAGAGCCCACTTTGGCCTTCTTCCAACCATACCCCTCCTTATAGGGCCAGGAACCCAGCCCATGGGAACAAGGTGTGTGTCCCTGCTAGCCCATGCTCCAGGTACCTGGCACCCCTGAACAGTTACAAGCCTGCTTCCAGGGCCTGTGTGCTCCTCTTAGAGCTCTCCTGGGGAGGACTGACTGCACTGCCTGGGTATGTGCTCCCAGGCCCTAGGGGAGGGGGGATTGTATGCCCAGAACAGGGGATGGGGCCTGGCCTAGGAGCCAGGGCATAGGCAGGGGGAGGGGAGAAGGGGCAGCTGTTCCCACAGCATTGGAGCAGAACTTAGAGAAGTTGGAGAATTCGAAATCCCAACCTGGCCTTTCAGGTCATTATGAAAGTACATTTGTCTTGGAAGGAGATCCAGCATGTTTTATTTAATGGTTTATTAGGTGATTTAAACATTTCAAATATTTAGATATATCTTATGTGGATTCCCAATGGAACTCTTCTTCTGAACCCTGCAAATATTACAAATGTTACAGGCAGGCCAGATTAAATATCTGGTCGATCACCCCTTTCCCTTCTTCACTCTGTGTTACACTTTGTTACCTGAGCATAGTGGGCCCCTTGCTTCTGAAGCTGCCTTATTCTAATAGCCCATCTTGCTATAATACTTGGATCTAGCCCCTGGTCCAGGCTGGAGTACAAATACGAACCATCTTGCCCCCTCTACTCACCCCCCACTGTACTACGCTCCCACCAGTCTCTCTCTTTGCTCCGCAGGTGTTTATATACAAAACTTCTCTTCAGTACTACCTCTCCCCCATACAAATACCCACTACATGCCATGAGCTTGGTCAGGCACACCTGAGTAGAGGCCCTTTATGCCCCACACTACCTCTTAAGAACATTTTGCTTCTCTGACAACCTTCAGGTCTGAATTGTCAATATCCTATTTGATTTCCCTCCCCCCTGTGACAAAAACTACAGAACAGGTTCTGTTGTATTTGTTTTCATATAGCAAAGATCAAAGAAGCTGAATATTTTTAAGAATGTGCCTCTGGGCATTAATAACCTCTGTTTAAAAACAGAGTTGTTAACTGTGGGGGAAAAAATCAATAATGGGGAGTTCTCAGAATAAGAATAACCTGATAGAAGTCCACACTGAGAAGAGAGAGAAGAAAGGTATAACTGCTAATCTACCAGAATTACCTGGGTAAAGGGCGTCCACCTAAATGAACTTTCATTATGGGAATACAAAGGAAATAAAATCCAATCAATCAAAAACCTAGCATTATCAAAAAGGTAAAGATACAGAATCAGGGACAGTAGATGTTTTATAGAGAAAATGCAAAATCCAGCATGTGGTTGTATGGTATCACATTATTCCGTCATCAGCAAAACCAAGCAGCCATTGGTTTTTCTCAGCCATTACACTCAGAACTGAAAAGGCACAGTTATGTCTAGGTCTGCATTTCTATTTAAGCAAAGTAGCCCCAAGGTGACAGAGGCACCCACAGTGAAAGGTATAGTACTGAAAAGACACCTCTGGGTGCCCTAAGAAAATGAGCTCTCCGGGCATCCAAAGGGAGCTCACCGTGTTTGATGTGTTTGGGGAATGGAATAAAGGGGAAGGACTTGGAAATTTTAACCAACTTCCGGTGAACCTAGATGAAAATCTAGGGTGGTTGGTGCCTTGGAGAGCCAGCCTATTAACCAACTAACTCTTATGGTAAGTGAGCTTATATCTTTACTCCTCTGCCTAGAAGTTCTTAATGGAGGCGATGCTACAAAAGAAAAAGACTGTGTGGCAAGATGGGAAGGGAGGAGTCAAAAATTGCTGGGCTACTTGTCCCCGCCCCTCACAGCTAA